AACGTTGGGTTGGTGTGGCATCATAAAAAAAAGCAAAAAAAAAAAAAAAAAATAAACCAACCAAAATAAAACCAAAATAAAACCCAAAAAAGTTTGAGAACAGAAACTGTGCAACCGAGAGTGATTTCTGAGGTACATGAGAACATGGTAATAAACATAGTGGAAAAAATCCAGTGGCCAGGTGGTTTGCTGAGTAATTAAGAGCTGTCCAATTACTCAACCATAAATCATCAACATTGACATGGGATTAATGGTTATTTTTCTCTTTCACAAGCATGTTGGAAATACAAATAAATACATTATGAGGTGTTCCTACACTACAGTAATGGGAAGGAGGAGAAGATCATCAAAGTACCATCAATAGGAAGCTGAGAGAGAAACGCTTTTAGCAAGTGTACCAATCCTTTGGTACTCGGGAAGGCAGAATCAGCAACACATTTTCTATTGTTCTCTAATCAATCAATTGGGAGGTTTACGATTTCTGCAATCCAGGGGGAAAAATCTCACACCTCATTTGCAGTAACAACATACTTCCTTTAACATCTGTTAAAAGAGAGTACTAGGCAGTCATTTTATTCTGAAAGCTATTGTGAAAGCACTCAAGTTGTAGGGTTTGCACCCTCCAAACATACAGTACACTGTACCCAGAGGGTTGGCACTTGCTGAGCACCTCACTGCAACCGAGGATGCTCCTCACCCTGGTGGGGACACACACAGACCCACCAGGACCCTGCAGGGGACTGGGAATGCTGAATGTACTGCCCCTTCCAGCACAGCTCGCCCTCACCCTCTGTAGAGGAGCTGACCACAGAGGTGGTCCTCAGCCCCTGCCCCTTCAGTTCTGCACAGGGGTGACACCGTGGGATCATCCCTGTGTTGCACAGCAGGGATCAGCCCTGTGTTCCACGGCAGAATCACCCCTGTGATCCTCTGCAGGGATCATCCCTGTGATCCGTGGCCGGTGTGGGACCGGGGTGTGCAGGAGGTTGGACAAAGAGCCAGGGGCAGGCACCCTAAACATAGGTCCTACCTACACCTGGCCTACGGCACGGAGCAAACCACGCCAACATGATGGACACTGTGCCAATGCTTAGAGAGGTCACCCCACCATCAGGACCCTCTGGCACAGCTCCCCATGAAGCCATGGGGCAGGGCTGCCAAGGAATGACCTGACCTGATCTGACCTGATCTGTGTGTGGCTCTGCAGTCTTGCTTCAACAGCATCAGCTACTTTTTTCCTCCAGGACAGAGACACTGCCGCAGAATTCCAGGTGCTCCCAATGCAGAACATCGAGGCAGGAGGCGAGGCCAAAGCTGTGCCCAGCAGCAGCTTTGGGGAGGACAGACCTGCTCACCAGTGGAGAGTCAATGCATTTTTTCCACTATGAAAAGAATACCAGAGACCAAAAAGGAGCCAGTGCCCCGCCTCGGCTGCTTGCAACCTCTCCCCGGCGGGCCCCGGGGCAACCAAACTGTCACTGTGTGAGGTATTGTGAAAATGGGAACCATTTCTTGTCCAGCAAACCTGAGGTAAGTATACCATCTTTGCAGGATGTGATCAGGAAGGAAGGAGATTGAAAAAAAAAAAAAAGGAAGAAGAAGGAAAAAATAAAATAAAATAAAAAAAGTAATCATGAACACGCTATTAGGGAAAAAAAAAAAACAACCTGTACAGGGCATTTCCAGTAAATCAAAGAACTCATCATATCTCCACTTAACCATCTACTTCAGGATTTGAAATTTAAGCAGTAAAATAATATATTATAAAAATGTTTATAAAATAGCAGCACACTCAGTGAAACAATACAGCTAAGTACTGTTAATGTGAATAAGAATGAAACAAATCATAGCTTCTTAGCAGCGCAAAAAAAAAAAAAAAAAAACCAAAAACCCCCCCAAACCAAAAAACCCAAAACCTTAGAATCTTACTCCATTTTCTACCCTCATCTAGCCAAACAGGCTGAGTCCATACATATAATAGTCTTCGAAGTAGCATGTTCTTTCTGGATTTTTGTGTTAAAAATGCAAACATTGACATTTCAACCAACAGCTTCATATTGGGTATCTGCAAACTGTTAATACAATTGTGAAAAAAAACAAACCAAAAACAAAAACCCAAAACAAAACAAAAAAACAACCAAACAAAAAAAAACAAAACAAAAAAAAAAACAAAACCAAAAGTTGCTCCAACTCCTTTCATTTCTAAATGCCTCTTCGTTACAGGTGGAGCAGGAAAATAAATTCAAGTACACTGAATACACCTTTGTAATAAAACTCCAAGTCACGCACCTCGATGTTTACCACCATGGCTGTTGCACCAGCAATTTTCTTTCCTTGTCCATAGATAAACATGCAGGTGGTATTAAGATCCTTCTGTGACACTGAACAATACAGATGGTCAGGCTTTTATCCGGAATGTCATGACAGGAATGTCATCTGAAGCGGGTGTCGGTATTTCCAGCAACACCGCAGCTAACCGAGTACACCAGATACTGGAAAATATTGATTATAAAAAGCTATACAAAGCCTTGCTTTTGTGACTTCTTTCTCTTTTTTTCCTTTTCTTTTTTTCTTTTTTTTTTTATCTTTTTTCTTTTTTTGTTTTTCTTTCCTCGGCAAAATTGTCATAAACCATCTCATTTAATCCCTTAGGAACAAATTTCAAAGTGCTTTTCGAATGAAATGGTTTACAAAAACACTCACTGTGGATCAATAAAGTTAATGAAATGCTGAAAAAGTGTGAGGGGAAGTGGGGGGGAAGAGAGATGAGGGAGAAAACCAAACCACATCTTCTTTAACACAGTGAAGAGCTATTACAAGGGAAGATGGACAGAGCATCATTTAAATGTCTTTGTGGCCAAGCTAAGAAGCTGCCAGACGTTAACATGGATGTGAAGCATTAGCACTGTAAAGGAATATAATGCTTTTCCTAGATGATCCACCATATCTTGCAATCCAAAGGTTGGAGGTGGTCTGCCCAGCCAACAGGTCGGGATTAATGCGTGCATTCCCACCACTGAGCGTGAACACTTGGGAACTTTGGCTCGACCCACGGCTGGGTAAACAGAATTGCCCTCATGCCAAAGATGCTGCTGTGTTTAGAATGAACCATTTTGGAAGGAAAAGTAGATAAAAAGTTGAGAGGGGAAGTTGGGGGGAAAAAAAAAAGAAAAAAAGAAAAAAAAATCAACTAAAAAAAAAAAGCCCAAAAGACACCTGCTCTTCTGGCTGGTAAAATAAAGCATCTTCTTTCTTAGGTAGCAGCTACCACAGACAGCAAGAGTAAACAAAACTAACATACAGAGATCCAACAAACACTTCTGACTAATAACAGAGGTGACAGATCAGCAAATCTCTTCTGCATTCAAAATAGTTCAATTGCTTCAGGGATCTTTTCCCACTTTGCCCTAAACCCCTTATTCTATTGCTTTGCAATCTAGTCAAGCCACAAAATCGCACACACGATTCCTTTCTTAAATCTAAAAAAGGGGTGTATGCACTAGTTCATAATACACAGACAAGTATACTCTACTTTGTTCCCACAAATGCAGGCTTACATTGATCTAGCTACTTTGTATGCTTTTATAAGCATTTAATACCACTGATACATAATCAAATAGCAATTACCAAATATATTGTGGGATTCCCTTCTGTAGAACATCACAGGCACCAAATGCTTTTTTTTTTTCATTATTCAGTTTTTGTACTTTTTTTTTTGTTTTTCTTTATACCTAAAAGAGCTTTAAATATGTTCTATGTGGGAGCAGATTAAAAAAAAATTCACTCTAAAAATAATAACAAAAATAAAGGGGCTGGGGGAGCAAGCGTGACTTTGTGTGCCGATGTCCTCACAGGTTGATGTCTCTCACATCTGTGGGAGTGCTGGCCTGGTCCAGTTCATCCACTGTCTTGGAGGGGTTGCTCTGCTGCTGCTGCTGCCGGACTTGCTGCAGGCTGTTCACAAGCACTGCCTCAATCTGTTCCTGACAAGCTTTAAGGCAGTCCTAGAGAAAAGAAAGCAAATTTATCTATTAGTGAAGGTAAAGGTGGTTATTTTTTTCCTTACTGAGCTAGCAAAAGTTGGAAGAGCATCTGTCAGGTGTTTCTGAGAAGTGCCTGCTCTGACACAAATCAACCTTGAATTCTGAGAGGTAATCACTGTGTACAAACTCCCTGGGTTAAACACTCTTCATGCTGTATTTATTAGGCTCTAAATCTTAATATTCTACCGGTCTTTGATCAACAGGTTTCCCAGAGAAGCTGTTACTGCCCCATCCCTGGCAGTGTCCAAGGTCAGGCTGGATGGGCTCTGAGCAACCTGGAATAGTGGAAGGTGTCCCTGCCCATGGCAGGGGGTTGGAACTGGATGATCCTTAAGGTCCCTTCTAACCCAAGCCATTCCATGACTCTTATGATTATGTGATTTATGTGGTCTTCTCGAGCAGGAACCCAAGTATTACAGAGCAATAATTTTTCATTCTCCCATGCAGGGTAAAGCCACCTAAGTTGGTCTTCTCTACAAAAAAAGTTGCAATTTTATCCTGAAATAACCTCCATGTGCTGTATCAAGATCACAGATAGATGCACTTCATTTCAGATGCATTGTTTTCCAACAGGAAATTGAAGAAGTTTTGAGGTCCCTGAACATGCATGGTGCTCTGGGGCTGTTTTATCTGTCACACATTTGGGTCTTCCAGGCAGAGGCAAAAAGGTCAATTTATCTGTGAAAATTCACACAAGAAAAAATTCACACAAGCCTCAAACATGCAGCTGCATTACTGAATTGTAGAATCATTTAGGCTGGAAAAGACCTCTGAGATCATTGAGTTCAACCTTTGAGCAAACACCACCTTGACAACCAGAGCACTGAGTGCCATGTCCAATCACTTTCTGAACATACAACCAGCTCCCAGAGACCACTGCATTACAAACTACAGAACATTCAGAGAAGCTGCAGGTACAGTACAGCAATAAATAAATATGGAAGCCTGTCCATCAGGAGTCCCAAAGTAAACATGAAGTAAAAATACAGAAATAAATGGGAAGGATTCACCACATCTAAACTAGGTCACTAAACAGTGATGAAGACGACGACTATTGAAATACTTACAGGATGTTCCACACTTTTGATAATACACTAGAAGACCAAATGTGGTTATTTAACCAGTAAAAAAAAAGTGTGAGAAAACCTCAACAAACCCTGAGTTATAGGAGAAACTTAAAAATAAAACCCAAGCTGTGACTGTATGATGCCAACCATGTTCAGTGTGCTGGCACTGGGAGTATCAATTCAACACTGTGCAGGGGGACAAGTGGTGCCACAAGAAATGGCATTTTCTAAAGACAGAAGAGTCTGAAGAGTCCTTCTGGAAAAGGCACTAATACTGTAAACTACCTGCAGCCTCAGCCTGACTAAGAGCTGGGTCTTTCCAGGAGTCTGCAGGCAACAGAGCAATGCAGGGCTTGGTAGGAGGATTTTCACAGCACAGTGCTTTAACCAGAGCCCCCGTAACATCTGGCAGGGGTGGTGAGACTCACCATTCCCACTGTCAGGCAGGGGAGCTGAAGAACAGAGCAGGGCACTGACCTCCAAAGGGTTGCACAGACACTTGTGAACCCACTATGGGATGTGACTGCAACACTGAAGAGCTGGGCCCTGACCAACACAGCCCTTTTTCTACACAGTACCTGGTTATTGGAGAGAATTTGAAATATTAATGCATGGAGGATTGATCTGTCATCCCAGTCTGACTGGGAAAAACACACCCGGTGAAGAGGATCTGTTCTGCTGGCGACACTGACATTCATGATGAGTGCAATTAGCTCCCATGGGTAATGAACACCCATTTTTCTTGGCTACCAGCCAGCAGCTGCTGGCTGCAAAATCCTGTCCTCATATAAAGAAAATCCCCCATAATCAGCTAGGGAGGGCTTCAAGTCTGTCGTAAGCATTCACCTGTGTGTAAGAGGGCAATGACAACAGATCACTGTGTGGGTCAAGGCATTTCAAGTGTGGGAGCACCAGTTTGGAGACTCTTGCAACAGACAACACTCGTAATATGGTTTTTTTGGGTACAAGAACCTCTTCTTTTAAAGAACAGTTTCAAAGTACTGTGTCCTTCTGAAAACAGGCCAGATTTTTTTAAAGCAGCTTCAGTCTAAAAAGCTTAATGAGGCAATTTCCTTGCAGGCAGGCTTGGGGAAGGAAGGGTGGTAACATGCGGAACATGAGGCTTAAGCATTTGGAGTCAGCTTTGTCTGTTCCTGAATACCCTTATGTATGGTCATTTACATCATCAGTACACAAACTTCTGATGGGCAGCGTGCTGATTCATTTCAGGTATGAAGAAGCTGAAATCTCTAAGTAACTCTGCAGAGAAATGGGTCATTTCTGGTGTCTTCATTTTGTACATAAAACTTATAAAGCGGCCTCAACTGGAATTGTCACGTGGATTTTATTTCATACGGGAATCCACAGGCCGCTGTGTATTATTTCTCTGGTCTACATTTAGATTTTGAACTTAAAACCACCAAATTATTTAAAACAAAGAAACCTACAGTAAAAATGACAAGCACACTGCATTCAGCATGAAATAGTTTTCCAAAAAAGTGTTGCTATTTGCACACTAAAGCTCCTTGGATGTTAAATCTGTCAGTTGAAAGGAAAAAACCCTAATTTAGAGTATCTTATCAACTCAGCTGTCACAGTGATAAGGTAAGTGACTTTATTGAATAGATGAGGGTATCACCGGAACTTTCTGTCAATCCAACGTTAAGGGACATGATACAAAAAAACTACTAAACAGCCATCAAGACAAGCAGCCTGGCCTTCCCATGATACAGTAGTTTTAACCCTTACAAGTTTCATGGGGATTTGCTGCATGTGTACATATTTTACTGGTGGACTTTCATTTTGCAAGTTCTAGATGGCTCTGACAACAGAGAATTAAGTTTTAAGAACATATCAAAGAAAAAAAAACACGAATTGCATTATTTTCAACAAATCTTCCTTGAAAGAATACTATAATGCACTGCAGTATGACCTCAGTTTTTGCAATACAAGGAGTAGGACCATTCCTTCAGAATACTGCAAAACCTTTGTTGTTTTTATAAAAAACTTAATTTTAAGTGTGTGTCACATGGATCAACTTCCCCATTCTTCTATATGGTCTAGTAGTTTTAGCGATTAAAATAGTTCTGGTACTTTCCACTCCATAGTTTTATTTTTACTTCAGCATGTACAGAACTAAAAAGGCAATTAACTTTGGGGTTGTTTTTTTTCATTCTGAAACTCTTTCATCCCTAGCTGATTTTACTAGCACACTTGAAATGCATTTGAAGGAAAAGAAAAGCTTTCCTGTGTCTGATGAGGGGTAACCTCAAGGCTCTGATGGAAATGCTGGCAGTGAAAATAACTGGAAGGAGGAATCAGCAGCTCTATGGCATGAGCTACTTATTCAAGTCAATAATCATTGAAGATTTCAATTCCCATTCAAGCACAAGCCCTGGGGAAGATCCTGCAGAATATAACAGATAATTCACTTTCTTGAACTTTTCAACACTTCTGTGGTATACATATGTCCTATACTCACCCCCGGCTTCCAGTTTTAAACTGGCATTTATGGTTCATTGGCAAACTATAAAGGAAGGCCTCCCACTCAACCCAGCTCAACTCAACTCAACCAACAGGCTCTTGCTTTGCACTGACCAAAATCCCAAAGCTGGGAATGCTAAAAAAGCCTTCTGGCATTTTTGTGTTAAAGGGTGGTTACTTTTCCACATATATATTAATCACTTCACAAGTAAGAGTTAAGGCCCCCAACGTCTTCTTCTTTCTTAAAACCAATTAGAAAAGGGAAATCAGGAAAGGACTTTTTTTTAGGTGCAGGATCTGGTCTGATAAATGGAAATGGTTCTGCAGATACCCAAAATTACAGTACTGTTCATTAGTCATGTATGCACTGCTTGGATGATCTAAGAAAGCAGCAATCAGACATGCATTAAAGAGTTGGGATTTACATAAATTCCAGTGTGGAACATGTCATCTGTACTCCTACACACAAAAGCCGGCTGGATTCCTCCACTGGTTCACATTTAAGCCCCAATTCAGACCTCTCCAAAGCACATGCTTCATTGTTGACATAAACAGGGATTCCTTCCCAAAGTGGGGCCTTTGTGTGCTGAGCGCTGGCCTTTACCTCACTGACCTTCTCCAAAGCAAGAGCCTGGAAAGCTGCTGTGGGAATATCTTATCCATTTACTGTATTTACAGTGATCTCACATCTAATGGATGCAGTTAAATAACAGAAATATTTTCCCTCCTGAATGTATGTTTTTTGCTACTGTAACAAAGAGCATCAATCACAAATAACTGTCTATGTCTCTTTCTCCATCTGGAAGTACAGAAAATAGTAATTTGCTGTTCCAAAGGACACTTCATGTGAACTAACAAGGAAATCTATCTCATTCAAAAAATAAAACAAAAAAATGCAAAAAACTAATTCATGCCAGAACTTCGACCAGTTACTGTAGCCACATTACTGCAATAATGCAATAAATAAGGTGACTAACATTAAGAATCTGAAATACAGGGCATTTTTCTCTGCAATTTTTTGCTCTTTTCAGCAGTTTCAACAGCGTCCTTTCTAGACTGAGTTCCACTGTTTGCTTGACCACTCAGTTTGCTGGTTTCCTGTTGCTGCTGTAGGTATTCCTCATTGCAAAAAGGAGAGAACAATGTTTTCAGAACTGGGAAAAGAGAGAGTAAAGCCAACACACCAGCAGGGCGATGCAGGGGCAGATGCCAAGATACTCCTTGCTCAGTGTGACTTGGGATTCCTGGTAATCTCTTCCAGGTAATACTTCGAAGATGTGAAAAGGTGGAAGGGTGTGGGATTTATGCTGTTGTATCAAACACCTTGAGTGCTTAGTGAAAAAAAGGATTTTCAAAAAGCTGGGAGGACCTGCCTGCATTACAGAAGAGCTGCAGGAGCTGAGCAGGGAT